GGGATGATATCGAAGCCACAAAGCCGTGGGCGGAGGGGGTGGAGTGGTTGTAATTCATTTTGGTGTTTGGGCTTTGGCCTTTCAGGGGCAAATGGGTAGTGAGACTGTTATGATGATGACGGCGATGATGCATCTTGGGTTGGCTGGATTTCATAAGGGACTTTTTGGACATACATTCCTGATATAATAACATTGGGTATACTGACTTTCCGTCCTACCCTCTATGAATCCCATCACGAGGCCGAAGTACCTCGTACCTCCCGCTCACGTCAAGACCCCTTGATCGAGGAGAGCTGATCCTTCTCATACCAAGTTGGTGGAGAATCTCTACATGTCATCTGTTTTTCGACCTTTTGATTTTTGACCCATTGAGTTGAGGCATAGGTTCTCATGAGCCTTGAAAAAAAAAAAAAGGGACGTCTCATTGTTATCGTCCATCGACTATTGACTGTGAACCCTGGCGGTTCAGCAGATTCACTTCGTCGGATATTGTCTGCTGCTGGTATTTTGCTTCTCTGGACATACGTTTGTAAAGCAACTAGTAGGCAAGGCTGGGCAATTGGAGGAGAGGATTATGTTGGTGTGAAGTTGTCAGTCAGTAAAAACTAGAACACAGTTGGTTAGATGTCACCGGCCGGTGCACGATACGTTATAAAGTCTACGACAATCACACATACCACCCCAGACCAGAATAATAATCTGATAAGTGAGAAAAAAGACCTTTTTCCGTCGCTCGTCGCCGACATCCGACACCTACTTTACTCAAGGAACCAGCCGCTTGATTCCCACGCTGCTGCTATGTGTGCGCGTCTTTCTTGTCTGTAAAGGATGGAGGATGGAGGATGGGTTGCAATAACAACCCCTCAAGTTCCCAATCATGGCTTTCTAAAGTCACTCAAATCGCAGCCCAAATCAGGCACAAGAGGGCAGTGAAGCAAGGGTCGGGGTTGGATTTTGGAATGGAGGAGTGACTTGAACCGAAGCCTTGTATGGGAGTCGCCATGAACAGTGGCCAATGGCCAATGAATCAAACACGCGGTGCATACTCCCCCTTCGACAGCCATATGCTCTGCCATTGAACCAACGGACTTTTTGAAGACAGGGTTCAGATTGTTGTTCGTTCATGACCGACGACTTCATTGAAACCCTTGGATATGGATCGTGCTGGGTTGCCGCTTAAACGGACTGTATTCCTCGGCTGAATCAAGATCATGGGACGTGAAGTATTTCGTCGCAAATCAACAAATCGTAACAAAATACAAAAAGGATACGAACGCACCTTGCATGTGCATTTCCCCATCTTTTAGTTTCAATGTGATAAAGATGCATTAACAGTATCCGCGTCGCAATGGCAATGGATCAATACAATACGATGGATGAAAAAAAAGGAAAAGGAAACAAAAAAAATATCGCCAAGGGGGGTCCGATCTCCGGCAGCGCTATTCCAAGGCCAGTGCTTAGTAGCGCTCTCGTTAACGAATCAAGACGCGCATGAGGGAGCAAGCCTCAGGGACCCCCAGACGGAGCGGCTTTTCCAAACACGGAAGCTCCCTTTGGCTTCTTGCCTTCCCCATTTCATGGATTTCATGCATGATTTGCCGAACCTTGAACAGCTGGGAAATTTGAGTGTGTTCTTGGCCATCGTCAGACCTCGCATTTTGAAATCTGAACCTCTCATATCTTCTTCCCCGAAGCACCGCGATGCCTGAACGGCCAAAGTCTACAGCCTATCAGGGTGCAGTGTTCCCTCCTCGTGGGTTTTTCATGGCAATCGAAACGTCGTATTTGGGACAGATGATTTTTGAGGTCGTTTTCAGTACGTTATTTGCTTGCTGTTGTTGTTGGTTCATCCAGATTGCGGGGAAGGTTCAAGTTGTTCAAATGGATGAAACGTGCCTGGAGCCTCTGGAGGATATGAAAGGACTGACATAATTATCCAGTTACGATCAAGAGCTGGACGTTCTACATATGTACCACTAAAAACTTGTGAACCCACCATCACCACTTCTTACAACGAAACCAATTGATGCGGCGGAGTTTTTCCAGGAGATCTCCCGTGTATTTCTTTCGCGGTGTATCTGATGGGCCCCGAGACTCCATATCCGCGTGGGTGACTACTGTGTATCGCTTATCGCCATGCTTTTTCACACCACATGAGGAGAGAGAGGAGACACACTTATCTCACCCTCTCACCATGTAACTGTAGTTCCCCATCACCCCCTTCTGATCTGCACATCAACCCGGCAGTCTCGCCCATTCATCCACCCACGACACCACACACACTCACACCCTCCGCTTACACAGCTGCTACCCACATTTCAAGATGCAGGAACCTTCCCTTTTGGGACATGCCAGCGATTGATCGACAAATACACGCACTTTATGGGCTGAAGGCCCGTGAGGTTCACGAGGAGGCCTGAATTATAAAAGAACTATAAAAGAAGCCAGGCCATCAAGGTCCATCTGGTGACCGAAACCCCTCGTCCTTCAGTTCCGTCGTGTGATCCCCGTCTCGTTTCGTTTCGTTCCTCATCTCATCCCACCCCCACCAAACCAACTCCAACAAGCCGTCATCATGGTCCAGCTCCTCTCCGCATTCGTCTCCCTCCTCTCCGTCGTCGCCGTCTCCGGCGCCGCCATCCCGGCTCCTGCCCCCGAGGCTGTCGCTGATGTTGCGCCTGAAACTGCTACTGTCGAGCCTACCGGCAACTTCACTGCCCAGGCCTGCATGTATACCTGCGGCTCAGTCTGCTACAGCTCTTCTGCCATCTCTGCTGCTCTGAACAAGGGCTACTCTTATTACGAGGACGGAGCCACCGCTGGAAGCAGTACGTTTCTTCTCCGTTTTAGGTTCCCTCCTTTCCTTTCTTGCTTTTTCCTTGCTTTACCTATGTCCAATATCTTTCTTGTTCTTCTCCTTATTCTCTCTTCCTTCTTCGGTCCCTTTTCTTTCTTTCAAAGCAGCGCTAACAAGCCCCAACAGGCAGCTACCCCCACCGATACAACAACTACGAGGGCTTCAACTTCCCCACCGCCAAGCCCTGGTACGAGTTCCCGATCCTGTCGTCCGGCCGCGTCTACACTGGCGGCTCTCCCGGTGCTGATCGCGTCATCTTTGACTCCTACGGCAACCTGGACATGCTCATCACCCACAATGGTGCTAGCGGTAACAACTTTGTTGCTTGCAACTAAGCGATTGCCTTTGGGATTGGGATCGGGAATAGGAGGGGAGACAATAACCTTATGAGTGGATGAGATGATGGGATGAAACGGAATGGAACAAAGGGGACCGTATCCTAGCGCCGGTATCGAGCTGGACTGGACTGGACTGGACCTTGACGGGGCGCGTGGTGTACATAGCCCAAGTGGTGTGTGCGAATCCTGCTAGTCTGTACATATTGGACTTACCCTGCAGCGGAAGTTCGGTTGTTAGCATTTTCAAAAGAGGGGAAAAAAGAGATTCAATACCCTACACAGCGAATTATCATATGGTTCTGAACACTGACTTCACTTGCACCTGATGGAGCGGAGGTTCAGTCATCAGCAGTTACCCCGTACTGCCCATCTTCATACAAAGCACCGATAGACACCCCTTTGTTATCGGCAATGAGGCCAATGAGCTGCTGGCCGATGTCCTTCATATCGTTGTACTCTTTGAGCAACTCAATGTGCGTTTGTACTGTTTCCTCTGGTGGTTGACTACCGTTTCTCACATGTCAGCCAATTTGCCTTGTCGGTGGCGAGGGGTTTAGTTTTGAACCCCTTTAATAGTGAAGTATTACGTACCTGAGGGCTGCCTTTTCCTCCTCTATCTTTCTTGACATGTTGAATAGTTGGATGAGATCCTTTTCGGCTTGTTCAAAGGCTTGGAATACCTTGGTGAGATAGCCGAAGTACTCGTCCTGACAGCCGCGAGATACAGGATCAGCATTCTATTCTTGGCGATATACGGCCATGTTAATCTTCCAACACATACCCTCATCACTGACTCCAGTTGATCTCGGGTTTTAAACTTGACCTCCACAGTCTGGTTATCCCCACCAGTCGTTATAATGAGCACAGGCTCGACAGATTTACTTTCGTGCACTTGCAGCTTCCAAGCATTGTCGGGAATTGCGCTGTCTTGATTTTCATTTCTAGTTTGAAATGGCTCTTCATTGAAGTATTTCAGCTTCAAATCCTCGATTCGGATTTTATATTCGGCAACAAAGGCTACAAGTTTGGCGTTGACCTCGCGCCACATTGAAGCAGTGCATCCGGTCGGGGTGTTGTTGTTGAGCCAACGCCGACACGAGGCGATGAGATCAATTTGAGTTTGCGCGGCTTGAGCGAGATGTTCAGGCAGATCAATGAGGCTTGACTGTGACATTGGCTTTGGAGCTCGGGAAAAGCTCGTGGGCGTCATGATTGTGTTGTCGACCTGTGTTAGTAAGAGAGAACGTAGAAGGGAAGAAGAGAGGATGAACAAACGTCGAACATTCGACATAGGTAAGGTACAGATAGTCATATTGACAGCACAGTTAGGACAGACGGAGTTCACACAGTGTATGGCGAGATATGCAGTACTAGTAGCATAGTAGTACCGATCTCTTCAGAAGGGAAACGTCGCAAATGGTTTCTGGGCCTGTTCTTTTTAATTACAGGGTAACTCGCTAGCATCTAAGCATAGCATGTAGACCAATATGGCATCGCTGTTGATGTTTGGTTTTTTCTGCTGTAAGAAATCAAGTTTTGTTAGACGCTGCTGGTTTGCTTCCTAACCTCCCCCATGCCTTTGACTGTTTTGAGCACCAAATAAGTCATTGATGTTCAGCTGCCTCCCCGCCAGTTGACTCCCTTCACTATTGCCACCAAACGCTCCCAGAGATGCCCATGGTGCTGGCGCCTGTGCGTAATCTGCGACGGCAGCCCCATTGTTCGGCACGCCCTGCTCATACTGAGCTCCGACAACCTGGTTATTAACCGCGCTCAAAGCTGCCCTTGCCTTCTCCCATTGGGCCTGAATAAGACTCCAGTCGGGATACTCCATAAGAAATTGACCCTGCGAGTCTCCGGTTCCCTTCTCCTCGTTGCTGTGTAAATGAAAGCCGAGTGCTCTCCCGGGTCCCGCTTCGTCGGCCTCCATTTTCAGACTTAGAAACTTCTCGTTTGTGGCCTCGTACATTTCGACTTTTGACAGATTGATGGTAAGATTCTCCATACTACGTCGATTCAGCACAAAGAGGTTGACCTGTGGTAGTTCGTGGCCGGTGGGAAGCACGATCGGGTCGCACTCGCAGAGGAACATGGGACCCTCGACATCGCGCAGTTCCCAGGAGTTTGTTGTTGAAGACCACTCGAAGAGACGAACGAAGGAGCAGGTCAGGAGGATGGCGCGTAGGCCAGAGACGTAGCGCTTCAGCACGGACATGTTGAGCTCGTAGTTGGTACGGGTGGTGGTGTGCACGTAGGTAGCCGACTCGTCCACTTCTGGCACGTAGTTTTTGGGATCGTACATGCGGTTCTCGGCATCTCGGGGCTGGGCCGCATAGCTGGTGTTGACAACGTCACTATCGTAATCGGATTGCTGGGCGTAGCGGGGGCCGCTTTCTCGGGAGCCGCCATTGTTGTACGAGTGGTTGTTGCGGCTGCGCCCCTTGCGAGGGGTTGGTCTCCCGCTCATGGCGGCAGCCTTTGGTTATGGAGGAAATTCGGGATATCGACAAGAGCGATGACTTGGGTTGACGATGTCGGTGAAATGGACGGACTCGAGATACGCGGCTTCGATGACGGATGTCGATGATAGAAGACGACTATAACGAAGGCGATGGGTATCGCCTCAGCTGAGTACTTGTATCGGCGCGCGACACTCGGCTAGAGGCAAAGAGGTGATTGTCGATTGTGGATACCCGTATCACAAGGCATAGAGGTAACCTAATGGATATTGATGCAATTCGTGTTGTAGCGACAGAACTATGTACTGTAATGGATACATCCAGGTAACGGACGAGATGAGGATGTGTTGGGCGTCAAGCAGCGCCGAGGTGCCTGCCGCGCGAGTACTTGGTGGGGTGAATCTGGGGAGCTCCACAGACTGACCACTCAAAGGCTTGCGATAATCGCTAGAAGTGGGACAACACTGATAACGACAGGGGCAGTGGACAAGCTCGAAACAGCGTCATCGTCCACTGGACCAGCAACCCTGATCTCCCTGTGAACGGCAGGGCCAGGCGCCCGAGGCCACCCCCTTGCAACATCCACATACCTACCTGGGCTAGAGGCAGCCAACATTTCCTCCGTGATCAACACCATGACTCGGCATGGGTCGAGACACTCTTCCTTGTTCTTTTGCCTCTTGTATATAACCACCAACCTCAACAGACGAAAGGCGTTATTATAACGGGTTTACATTATCTGTCAACACTACCACACGACATTCTTGCCCGCTATTTTAGTCCTGCCTAACCGCCTTGGTGACATCCAACTAACACGACCTTGTGCCAACTGACCAACTCTTGCGCCTGCCTTGCGCGCCGTCATATCTCTTTACTGGGCAGCCCTTACGGAATCATGAACACGACGAACAAGTCATCTCGACATTTATAACACAGGCCGCCACCATGCCCTCCTCCGAAGGACCACCACCCCTTAGTCGCACCCGCACCGGGTCCGCCACCACCGACCCCGCCGATCTGGGTACAGGCAACCCCCATTCGTTACACCAAGCTGTTTACGCCCGGCGCGAAGAGTATACCCGCCCCCATCGGATACGCGTCAAGGTCGGAACGTGGAATGTGGCTGCTTGCCCTGGCACGGATAAAGACCTGGCCAGCTGGTTTGTCGACGGCAAGGGAATCGACACTACGCTAGCCACTCTCGATCTTAACCGGAACGCGGCTATCGAGGGGGACACTGATGGGGAGGACGGGGTACACATACTGGGTAGAGACAAAATTGGCCTCTATGTGCTGGGATTGCAAGAGGTGGTGGACCTAAACACGGCAAGCCAGTACGTCAGTCGCGTGTACTCTGGAGATGAGGGGGTTACCCAAAAGTGGAAGACTGCGCTCGACACCGCTCTACCTCCAGGCTACAAGCTCGTTGCCTCTGAGCATATGACTGGCCTCCTGCTCCTCATCTATGCCTCTCCAGAGGTTGTGCCGACCATCAGCAACGTGAGCACTGTCAGCGTTGGCACAGGTCTCCTCGGCTACATGGGCAACAAGGGCGCTGTCGTCACTCGCATTATCCTCGGCGAGTCCACCAGGCTGGTCTTTGTCAACTGCCACCTTGCCAGCGGTATCGAAGCAACGTATAACGAGAGGCGCATCTGGGACGTTGGCCAGATTCTTGGCCGCACCCGCTTCAAGCCCGTTAGCTTTGCTGGTGTATCAGAGGACTACGAAGAAAAGATCGGCGACGAGGACTTTACCTTCTGGTTTGGCGACCTCAACTTCCGTCTCGATGGTCTGCCTGGCGACGACATCCGACACCTCTTGATGTTGCACACAAAGGGAGAATACGGTGCGCCCAGGCCAAAGTTCAGGCGCGACAACTCTCTGGAGGGGGAACCGATCATTGTGCACGCTGACAAGTCATCCGACGCTGGCGACGAGACGAACGATGGCAACTCGACGACGACCCACTCTACGGGAGACACCAAAGCTACCGACTATGATAGTGATTCCGACTTGGATGCGCTTCCCGATCCTGATGACTTTTTGCCAGACCCCCATGATGATCCTACTTCACTGCAAGCAACGCTAGATTCGTTGCTTCCCCACGACCAACTCACCCGGCTGATAAAGCAGAAGAAGGTGTTCCATGACGGATGGCATGAGGGCACCATCTCCTTTCTCCCATCCTACAAGTACGACGTTGGCACCGTCGGCCTTTTCGACTCGAGCGAGAAAAGGCGGGCACCGAGTTGGTGTGACCGAATCCTCTACCGCACCCGTAAGGATAAGGAGGCGTATGATAAGAAGATCAAAGAGGCCGAAGACGCACGGAAAAAAGATGAAGAGATGAAAGCTCGCGGTATCGATCAGGCCGGAGATGACGACGAGGTGCTTTTTGACTACGATCCGGATAACGACGGCGACGACGATCACTCGCCAGATGTGTCACGGCTGGAATACGATGAATACGACGAGGGCGAGGAAGGCGATAACCAACACGACAGAGATGACTGGGTGGATAGGATACGCCAGGACATCTACACGTCTCACCAAAGGATCACATCTTCTGACCACAAGCCCATCATATCCATCTTTACCCTCAACTACGACGCTGTTGTGCCGGACTTAAAAGCAAAGGTCCACGCAGAGGTGGCCTGGGAACTGGACCGCGCCGAAAACGAGGGCCGCCCTTCTCTGACCGTGGTCAACGACTCGCGCGACACCCGAGGACCGGGGCGTCCTGGTGGTTCTCAAGATTCCGCTGAAGAGCTCGTTGACTTTGGAGAAGTGCGCTTCCTACAAAAACAAAGCGCCACCCTTACACTTGCAAACACGGGC